TGCTGAAAGTAAAGAACTTCATAAGAAGACTGGGATTTAACTGGAGTTGAAAACCTAAATGGTTTTGTTTGGAATACAGACTCCAGTCTGACACGCAGGCAGTAAGAAAAAAAGCTGTAACACTAATCACATATTAAAAATCTCACTAGGGAGTCATCCCAGTATCTAATAGTTTTTTAGTGGCATTTCATATGCCCCAGGGTATCTTGCCCAGCCCTGAACAGCAGCTCCAGGGGATAGCAGCCTCGACTTTGTATGTAATCCGCTAGCCCTGCAAGGATGTCTTGGACACATTTGTGCACTTGACACGTCATAAGACATCAGCATTTAGGCACCTGAATTGCTCCCCTGATGTCTGATTCAAGACTACTTGAAAGTATAAAAATACATGTACAAAAAACGTGTATGAAAGTTTTCACTGGGTGGCTCTCTGCTCAGGAGATCACTTGAAGGATAGTTTAAAAGAATGGTGATCCTAAGACAATGAAAGAATACTGAAGAAATTACAGTAGAATTAATTCCCAGATCAACTAAATACATCCTAGATGGCCGTGGAGAAAAACTGCAGTCTCTCTGCGCCTCAGCTCCCAGTCCACAAAACAGCGACAGTTAAACTGCTTTTCTCCACCTTGTTATGCAAGTTATGAGTTTATGAATTTTCTGGGTCTGTCACACATATTGTCTAGTATAACAGTTTCACCTTTCATCAGTACTTCTAGATCTCTTTAACAGAAATAATGTAACTATCAGAAGCAGCTTTTCAGAGAAAAAATTCAGCAAAATCTTCAATGGTCATACCTTTTTTATTCAGTGGTCGTTTTCGTACACAAACGCATATCCTGTGCTCATCGATCTGCAAAGGAAACCATCTTTCAGTGAACTATACTCCGATTTCAGTTATATGATATTTTACTTTATTTTACTTCTATTATTGAATTAATTAACCAATCATTTAAACAAAGAGAAATTTCCAAGACAGTGAGTCATCTGAACATGTAAAAGCCCCCTGTGTCTGTACAATAGCCAAGAACCCAAAAGGGAGAACCACACATTAACAAAACTCCCTGCAGACAGTGATCTAATCCTGTAGAGTACCAGGAACATCGCAAGCAAATCCAGCTCTAACAGGGCAGATACGCTTATTGACAGAAATTGTCACAATCTCTGATTTCCACACAGATCTGATAATCTTCATCATTTAAGGATTCTGCTCCTCAGACTTCTCTGCAAACCAAAGGCGCTCATCACCTTCAAAATCAAATATTAATCTTCATACTCAACAGGGTTTTTCAGAGGAGCTTAATGATTTTGTGTGCACATCCCCTAGCATCCCAGGAAAAATTACAATACAGAGGCTGAGTGCCTACTTAGTACATATTGGTATTACTTATAGTAAAAAGATACTTAAATGACACAACATAATTAACATTAATTTAGTAACCTACATTGAAAAAACTGAAAACACATAGCAAAAATACAGAAAGATAACAAATTTCCATGTTGATGGGGTACTTACAGGATCTGCAGTTGTCAGTGGTCTATAATCCAAACTTCCCCTGAAATCTCTTATCATACACATAATTTCATAATTTGGGTTTGTAGCATCAACATCCTAGGGAAGTAAGCAACAGAATTTCTAATACACTTTTTTTTTTTTCTGAAACGGACTGATTTCAGTATCTCCTACATTTATTTATAAGAAAAATACACGTTAACTGAAATCTTATTTTTTCTCCAAAATACCATGAAAGTCTCAAATGCAAGTTTAATGCCTTTTTCCATTCTGCTGTAGCTAATTTACTCATAGCAAAGCAATTACATGCCTTCTACTTCCTGTTTTTTGTTGGCATATAATAGAAAGTAATTTTTAACTGAGGACTCATTAACAGTGTACTCGAGAAACTGAGAAATGACTCCCACTTTTGCCAGAATCTTCACACTGAAGAAACACCTCTGAAAACCTGCACACCACCAGGTAGCATATGTAGTCAATGCTTGTTCATCTGAGACAAGGCGATCCAACGGACGGACAGATCCACCCTGTGACACCAGTACAACACACACCGCCCAGGACAACGCAGACACCCCAGCTGCTGTAAACACAACCCTGCTGCATCCCAGTTGGTTACAGGAGCTTGATGCTACTACTGGTCTTGAACTCCTACACTAACTTGGACACATTGGAACCTCTTCCAACACTTCCAGACCCCCCAAAAAGCAGAAGCAATCCCAAGGATACACAGTAGGCTACATGCAGGATGAGGAGACCTTCCATCCCCAAGCCTGGAACCATCAGTACCAGAGCGAATGGACACGTAAGAGGCCATGCACGGAGCCCCTCCAAACCCAGCCAAGCCTCAGCCTACCGCAAGCAGAGCTGGTCCTCTGCAGAGTCGATCAGACGTCCTTCCTGTCACTTCTCCCCACGACTGTCAGTTTTTACAACGTTTCAGGACACGCTGCTGATGCCATACATAGCCAGCTCTGGTGCTCAGACCTGATTTAAGTTTTGCATGGCTCCCCCCAAGCAATGTCAAACTCCTTCTGGATGACAGCTGGTGGTGGACACAGCGCAGGCGGTTGCAGAAAGCACTGCACTGGGGTTAACAAGCCGACAGGGAAGCAGCTCACCACGGCTCTGCACCTGGAACATGGCCGATCCTCGCCTCAGATAAAACTGTGTCCTGGTAATCAGAAGCTGACTGTACCTTCATCTTGCTCACCCTGACTACAGTGAACTAAAAACTGCAGACAGGAAGACCACACAAAATGGAAAAAAAAAAAAAAAAAAAGGCAGATTGGTAGTATCTCTTTGAAGACTAACACATAAGCACAGGGCCACCAACAAGATTACGCTACTATTTTTGCTGAAGCTTTTGCACCACTTTGACAGAAAGTCCTTTAATATTAAGAGATTCTTCTCCCAGGATTAGCAACTTCATGTCTTTCCCACAAGTTTCTAACAACTTACGCCAAGCTGATTGCATGATGCAAAGCTAAAGTATAAATGCATACGCGGCTTTAAAGAAAAAAAAAAATAAAAGTCACTGTTCAAACTTGAGCCTCAAATAGATCTCCTACAAAGCATCAAAGATCATAAAGAACAATTTATCATACTGTTGTACTACCTCCTGTAGAATAACAGTCCTATCTAAAAGCCAAAGATTTGATTATTTTCAACAATATATTTTCCCCAAGAAATAGCTATCATCAGTACTTGGATCTTTAAAAAACACGCAGCAAGATAAGCAACTGTCAGCAATTATTTCTGTAGGAAGAAAAAGAGGTGGAAAACTGTCTGAAGTAATGGTTATGACAGCAATGCAACCAAGCACCAAAATACTTATCAAACTTATATACAGGATGAAAATATTTAATTTCAAGATTATTACAGTTTATAAAAATTATTAAAGACTGAAAAAAGCACAATGATTTTGCAAACTTCTTGTCTTGCTGACATACGTTTTCCATCTGAGCTAAAAATACTAACCTGAGCTCTTTTTTCTCTAAGTTCCTGCTGCTGTAACCTTCTTTTTTCACGTTTCTCTTGCAATTTTTCAACCTCTTTTACACAGTTAGATTTTCTACGTGCTTAAAGAAAATAATAAATTTTTAAAATATTTTCAGTGTTGCATGAATTTAGTATTTACGCTGTAACATTTCAATTATATTAATTTATCAATAATTAGAATGCATTTATATCAACTAGCTTTTCAAGCAAATCAGTACTAGTACAGAATAATTATGATAGTTTAATTTCTGAATTCATAAAATAAGTTAATTAGAAACAAATCATGGGGATGGGATAATAATCACACGACCAAAAATATAAGGGCAATGACCCTCAAAAAATATTTGGACTGATACATGTGATCTCTTGGTTTGAATCAAAAGAAAGATCAGGCAAATTAAAAAAAAAAGAAGAAAAAGCACCACCATGGTAAAAAAAAAAAAGAAGACAAAGGAAAAATAAATTCCAAATAACAGCACAACTATGACAAAAGTGAACATTTGTCTAGCCGCAGCTTTCTGAAAAAGCTCCTTGAGGAGCCCACAGACAACTGCGCCTGTAGACCATTTGTCATTTATGGACAACAACATAATCCAAGAGAATGTGCATGTAACGCCCAGAATGAATGAATCCTCGATACACGGTTTACATACAAGGGGGTCCAAATTCCTTTTTTGCAGCTTGAACTGGAGATATATCTGAAACACTACCATTCTGCTGAGAGGAGGAAGACTGCTCGGGAAGCTGAGTAGGTCGCGCGCGTGCAGAACCAACCACTGCAAAGGAAAAGCACAAAGCTCATCTGGACACAGAAGACTAACATTTCTACCCAATTCTGACATGCGTTGCTGTTACGGCGAGATAAAACAAGGCCCCTTTCCAGACACAACAATTTATTGGGGGTGAAGGGCAGCCATCCATGTAGAAAGCCTATTAATAAAGACATTTGGCATGCAGCCTTTTTATCCTAGTGTTATGTTATACACAACATAATTACTAAGTACTAATGCTGCACGTGTGTATTTTTAAATAATCTACTGCAGAATTAGTACAACTTATTATGCGCATAGAATGAAGCATGTACTTGGAGATACGCAGTCCTGAAGCTTAAAGAGCTGAAATTTTATATATATATATTGTGATCATACCCAAAAACCGAGTAAGAAAAGATTCTCTAGACATTACAAAATGGTCCCACCCTATTGAGCCTACGACCTCCGGAGGTGCAAAGGGACACAAATGAAAGGCAGCGAAGTGCAGCTCAACCTGCGAGTGGAAGAAACAAACCCTTTTAACACTATACTGGAAGGGACGCAGATACAGTCAATAAGTCTAAACTGATGCATTGATTCTATACGTGCTAAGGATGCCAATTTCTGAAGATGCAGTGATGCCTGTTCCCAGTGAATGCAGTGGGAGCGGTGAGCGTGCAAGCCTCTCTGGTAGAGATGAATGCTTTAAATTGTTTCTCAAAGAGTTGCTTCAAGCAGCTTTGCTTCAGCTGGCCCATTGCCTACACATGGTCCTAACAGAGACTGCCAGAAGAGTGCGAAAGTGAAGGTATCAGCTTTGATTAGCAGCCAGAGATGACACTCCAAACAAAGGCCAGTTCACTGTGCAACATGGAGGCAACTATGGAAAAAGGTATTGAACGGGACAGACAAGACAGATGCCCGGATCATTCCAAATACGACAGGAGATCTAGTTTACAGCACAAATTGATTACACGAAATAAGACAGTGTGCTGGGAAAAGCTTAATTACAAGGCCAACAAATACGCAGGCTGACTGTGAATAGTAGGATCCATAGGACCTATTAAAATACGAGTTACAGGGTTATTCCATACCAAACAGACCATTCACTACAAAGGACAACATGTATGGATGTGAGGAGAGCCCATCAATAACTTGTCTCAAACTTAAACCATATTAGTTCTAAAAAAATTATCCCCTCTTCATGAGATTTTCAATTTGTTTAACACCCTCAGAGGCAAATTGCAGCAGGGAGAAAGTGGTCCAAATCATCCACCAGAAGAGCATGAACAGTTGCAAAGATATGCAAGCCCACTTGTTTTTCAAGTTTAAACAGATGGACTAGAATCTACTCTGAATTAATGACAGGAGATTAATGTTTGGAAGAAGAATCATCACCATCATCAGTACAAGTTAGTTATGTTTAACGCAGGAGAGAAAATCAAAACAATAAGCAGTAATTATTCTTTCTCATGTTATAGATGCATTACATCTGTATTCATCCAATACATACTTTCTACCTATCCTCCTGTGGTATTTCAGCTTTTTTTGTAGTTTTTTTGCTATTAACTGTAGTGTGAGAAATAACCCGTAGGGCTTAAGTACTCGTTGAACGAATGTTTACACACACACTGTTACAAAACTAAGTTAAAAAACTGTAAGCGTAACAATTTTAAGTACACTACTTAGTGTGTATTGAAACACACCATTAAGCTGAAGCAAACTGAGGACGCTTTGACTTGGAAAAGTCCACACAGGATTTAATGTAGCATAGTTAATTAACTAACTACAAATTTTTGCACCTTCAGTTCATTCAGCTTAACTTTCCTAATGCTAAATTGTTTAAACTTGCACATAAATACTATTCATACAGTATAAATTCCTAAATATATGTAGGAATAATTCTAGGAATGATGTACCATGTCTTTCATGAGTCACATGCATACATACCGAATGAGAAATGCAGAACTATTAAGGAATATTAGATGAGCAGGAGGTTAAAATGTTCCCATATTTTTTACTTCCTTGAAATGGAAAGAGATAACATTTACCTCTGTTATCTCTGGCAGGTGTGTCGTTCTTAATAGGTACCACAGTTCGTCGACTCTATATATAAAGAAAGAAATCTCTGTTATTCGATCACCGTATTATCGAAAACGTAAACTGCAGCCCCACCTCTGCTTCTTTTCAGTGAATAAAAATAACAGGACATCAGCAACACAGAGAGGTGATTGCTGCCAAACCCCTCCCTGAAGAGCCTAGGGTGAAGACTGCTTGACCTATGCGTACTGTTTCAAAACAATCTCCAAAACCTTTTCTGTATTTTTCCTTGAGGTATGTTTAGTTACGTAAATATTAGTTCTCAAATCCCCCTCTGCCAAACCTGTCCTTAAAAAAATTTTAGAAACCCCTATTCAGCATAGGAAAATGAGAAGAACTCAATTATCAGATAGCACCACAGACACAAAAGTTAAAATTAAAAATTCAAGCATAACAATCACGTATATAGGAGTACTGTATGTTTAACATGAACACGTGGCATAGATATTACCAACCTTCACGATTTTGTTTACTTTGGCTGATGGAGTCGGTGGTGGTGGTGTCTCTGGACTAGGTTCGATATCTTCATCAGGTGCAAGATCTGGGTTAAGTGAAAATATGCTCTCCAAGTCAATCTGTGTAAAAGAATATAAAATGCATTGATGAGTCGTAAAACGATACTCGCCCTCTCCATTTCTCCTGTTTGAGAATAAACAGTTAATATATTTAGTGGTTTTACCCCACAATTTGTTGATTCTAAAACCTGAATTATCTTGTTTTATGTTCACTAAGAAAGTGTAAGCTTTTGTCTTTGTATTAGTTGAAAACATAACCTTCAGAAAAGGGAAGAATTAAAAATCGCAAATAGATATTAATAATTTTGTAAAGTGACTAAATTGAAACAGAATTAGCTGGTATTACTGCGGGAAATATGACAATTACTGTAAAATATGAAAGACATTCTGTAACATAAAAAGAAAGACCTCAATTATTTGAAATTTCCAAGGCAGTGCAAAAGAAACAGATGAATTACAACCACCCAAAAAATAAAAGCACAGTTAAAACTATGTAAAATTTATCACGGTATTTTTTTTTTCTTTTAAGTGTTTCTCATTCAAAATACTGTAAAATGTAAGGGGGGAGGGACAGGATCTTAAAAATAGCTGTCTTCAGATCTATTGAAACTTGGTTTCCTAAAAATCTTAAACAGTTTCGGTCTCTCTAGACTGCCATTTCCTCTGGCTGGACCTTTCAAAGACCTCACTACTGTATGGATTCTGTGTGTCCAGAGGGATGATCTCAGCTGATGAGATCACCATGACTTTCTCACAATTTTTTTTTTCTTTTTCCTGTGTTTTCACACAACTGGTGAAGTGTAATTATTTCTGACATGCATCTCTAAATCTCAGCTAAAACTGGCTAACATGGTCCAAAATTTAAAGGAAGAGGGGATAACGAAGCATTACACACAAAGACATGCTTTCTCAAGGAAAGCAAGGCTGGAAGATTATTGCCAAAAATAAATAAATAAGCAAACAAACTAGCAGTTCAATTCCTCAATAATACAAACACAAAAAGATTTCAAATCTAGATCTCCCACTAGTTTCCTGTCCAAACTGCAAGTCATTCTGTCTCTCAAAAATTTTATTTTTCTACTTGTAAATAGTGGATAACAAGGTCAGCCTTTGTAATCTGGTTCAAAATCAACAGATGAAAAGAACTATTTAAAAGCTATGACACAGACCTGAGGAAGTCAAATTTAATACAACAGAAACTAGCGTTTGCCCGACAGCTCCTATGCAAAACAATCTGTAACCAAAGAATTGTCAAGTAAACTAAGATTTCTATCTTCTTTTTGTTTCCAGTGCAAATTCCAAAGTCATATTCATGTAGACTACACAGTTTTCAAAAGAGAAAATTTCTAAAATAATTAAGTTTACCTCTTTGCCTTTAGTATCCCCATTTTCAATCCATTCAACAGTTACACTTTCATTATCTTCATTCAGGGATGTTACCATAGCTTGGTGAATTCGGCCTAGAAAGCAAACACAAATAATCATTTATTAACTGATAGAAAAGTTTTCCAGAAGTTATTTTCATCCCTGCACTGAGACACGCAGAGAGTGGCAGGAAGAAGAGGGTTAAAAAAAAAAAAGAGGTGATAAATAGATGATTCCTGGCCACACACTGTGAAGCAGCTCAAACCTGATCCACCCGGTGGAGGCTCTAATGGGACAGTCCGCATACAACCGAAAAGTTCAATGAACAGAAAACTGAGTGGTAAGTAAACGCCACACCACTTGGACTCGCTTTTCCTGGGAGAAGAAAACTCCCATACCACGAGTCTCCCATGGGCGACAAAGTCTTGCGAAGTGTGCTCCGCAAAAGCTTGTTTTTCCCCCTTCTAGGCTGACAGAACAACATTACATGTCCCAACACGCGAGTGAAGCCCTCTGAAACTGCGTTCTCAAATCCATTCCTTATGGGCGTCCAATCAGTTGATAATTCAACTAGAATTAAACTACCTGCAACAATAATACAAATCATTTTTAAAACAGCTGCTTACACAGAGAGATGAGCTGGAAGTAAGGTGCAGTTGCCTTGACTTCTCCAGTGATGGACCCAAAGCCAGCAAGCCCCCATAAAGTACAATAAAAGCAGTAAACTTTCAGTAGAAATAAGGATTTTTCTTTTTAAATATGTAGTGTACTGTGATTTTTTTCATGTCCTATTTCCTACGCACAGTAGCGAGGAGCAATTGGAAGAGCAGAGCAGCCATGCGCTGACACAAGCGATCAAGACCGAGGCGTCACATTGATTTCACATCTCTGCTTTGCCCTAAGAGTACCAAGAACTGGGGTTTCTAAAGAACGTGAGCCCAACACAACTGCTCCTCAAACACCCTCTCTTAACAAGCCGCAGGATGACCAAGCAACCCCTCGCTCCGCCCACCTCGAGCCACCCCCAGGTGCCCAAGGGCCACCTGCAGCTCCCAAAGCACGAGCGACCATCCCAGAGCGGTGCATGCACACACTGCTTCTGCCGGCCACCCGCTGGGGGCGAAACACAGCACCGTCCTCGCACATCTGCCATGGTCTGCATCTCCTCCACCTTGCACCTTCTCGCCTCCTCGCTTAAAGCTCCCAGGACACCAAACCCATACCAGTTTTCTCCTCCCCTGGCTGTTTCAAACTTCTGTTTTAGCCAAAAAAACAAACCCAAAAGTCCCCCTTTGCTTCACTTGTTTCCCTATCCTGTAGCATTTGCTAGTTTTTATTTCCCTCACCCATGTTTTGTCCGAACAAACCCTCCATTTGTGGTTCCCCAGCGCCCTTCTCCCAGACTCTGTGCTCTGCAAGGATGGTCTGGCTAGCATTCCCCACCAGGGGGCTGCCTGGAGATACGTGGAGAAGGGACCACCGTCATGCCGTGCCGTGCCGTGCCGTGCCCTCCCCTCCGCTCCCCTCTGTTCCCCATGGAGGCAGCTGTGCAGGCACATATCCTGCCACAGGACCCCAACCGAGCCCTGCTGGTGGCCAGGCTCAAACGGACTCACCGACCATGATGCTCTCACACCTTATTTCCTTGGATGAGTATTTTTGTGCAAGTTTTCTATGTGCAAGGTCCTCATACATCTCTTCACTACTTTTTCTGCACTTAAAAACCTCTAGGGACATAATTTTGCACCCTCAGCAAGTTTGCCAATGATACCAAGCTGTGTAGCAAGGTGGACACGCTGGAAGAGAGGGATGCCATCCAGAGGGACCTGGACAGGCTGGAGAGGTGGGCCTGTGCAAACCTCATTAAGTTCAACAAGGCCAAGTGCAAGGTCCTACATC